TATCATTAGAATTAAACCTACTTTGCTATCTTAGCTTCTACTGCGGTGTAGAATTCAAGGTTCAGCATAGAGTCAAAATTTCGACTCGGGTATCTTGTCAAAATTTTGACGCTACTTTGAAGCTCTTAAAAATAGTTTGAGCCTACTTAGATAATCTACAACCTAGGTGAAACCTATTTTGACGATATTGACACTCATTTCCGAGTCGAAATCTTAACCCTAAATTGAGAACCTTGGATTCTATAAAATACATATATTCTATATAGGAGCTAAAGCTTCAATAGAGGTTCACAACTGAACCTACTTTGCTTCCTACTATTACACAACCTACTTTGACGCTAATGAAAGCGAAAACGGAAATTTCAGACATCATCAGAGTCAAAGTAGAAGTAAATTATATCATTAGAATATTAAACCTACTTTGCTATCTTAGCTCCTACTGCGGTGTAGAATTCAAGGTTCAAAATTTCGACTCGGGTGTTTTCTCGTGTCGGAACCGATTGTTCGATGTAACATTAAGCGCCGCGGCTCCCCGGCGGGACGGCAGAAGCGATTCCGTCTCGGCGACACGACCATGACGCAGTTGCCGGCAGCGAGCCGTACACACGCCATCCTTAATAATTCACGAACGGCTCTATCTTCCGCCGCGAACTATTCCCGCCCGCGCCCCCCTTCGACGAGGAGATACTCGTCAGGAGCTCGTGAGAGTCCCGGGGAAGTATGCAATAAGAAGGAGGGGGAGAGACGCGGGTCCAATGACGGGAGATCGCGCGTAAACGGCGGACCGCAATGCGGAACCGACGCGCGATTTAACCCTTCGACCCCCTCGCCACCTAAGCGTGTCTCCTCCTCGTCCCGAGCCACTAATCCGGAATGAGCGGCCGGGCCGAGAATGATTTCAGCCGCTGCGATTACATTTCGCAAATTACACGGAAATCTCATTTTCCGGCGCGGTGTGCAATTCAAAACTCGGAAAAATGCCAAACGCGATGCCCCCTCGCGTAGAACATTCCTTGGAAACTAATTGGGATTCAGCCCGATTTACTCAAACAATTATGGATTCTAAGTAGAAGTGTAATGTTTCAAACATGCGGTTCTACGTGGGGAAACCCAATATTTTCTCAATATTTCTTCTGATCTTTACCAACCTATGTTTGGGAATGAGAATGGAATTCCCTATTGGTATTGTAGCGCCGAACAATCAACTTGAAAACAAATTTGAGTAATCTAATCAGAATCTATGGACTCATCTTGAGAAAATCCTATGCGGACCTTTATGCATTTCAGTTCACGCTCGATCGCGATTTTTGAGTAAACTCCGCTGATTAACTCGATTAATCGGCAAACTAAGAGCAAGCGCGTCTGCATTATGGATACAATTAAGAGCGAAAAGGTCGCGAGCGCGCTATTTAATCTTTTAATGAATAAAATCAGGAACGCGGAGAGAGAAGCGAAGGGTGGGAAGGATTCTCTATCGGAGTGTGTAGGAGTGGACATACTGCGAGAGCTAACGAAGTATGAGATTAAAATCCATGCACGGAACACACACATCGGCGCATCCTCCTCTTGCCGACTGGCAGACGGATCGATAACGAGAAGGGGGAAGGGGAGGAAGAGAAAGAGAAGAAGAAAGAGAGAATGCGAGAGCGAGCGAGAGAAAGTGAAGAGGGCGGAGGATGAGAACGGGAGGACGGTGGAATTATTGCGAAGTCAGGATACTTCTCGGAGATGCTCTACGGGGTCATTCAAGTGCGATCGACCCGCGAAAAGAAAGAGGAATTTAACCCTTCGCCGCGACGAGGGTCGGGGATCCGTTTCCAGGGAAGAATTCCACTCGATTCGCTTCCTCCGCGTAATTCGATTCATTTTTAATTTGGGACTAATCGCCCTGTCCCACCCGAAACCTCTCTCGCCGATTTGATTCACGAGCGTCGTAAAACCGGCGGGCTTTCGCAACGCGACGTTACATAAATTTGTTACGAGTTGCGCGTCTGTCCGCTAATTCGCAATCTCGCGCGACTATCTCTCTCGCTTCGCATAAATAAAGGCAGGTACACCAGGTACGCGTAGATTCGATATCATGCGCATTCCACAATTTCCATTGAAACGCCAACCGAGCTCGAAAACGCTCGCGCGACCCGGTCTGCCTGCCTCTCTGCTTTCTCCGCTCAGAGCAAGTACAATGAACATGAGCGGGATCATCCTTCGGCATATTTCCCAATCACACCATTGGTCTTTTGTTCTCACGAGCGCGCCGTCCGCCGTTCCTTGTTGAATTGGAGTGCGCGAGCGTACACGTACGCGATTAACGACCGTATTATGCGCGCCACGTACTGAAGAGCATGATGTATACGTGGAACCACCTT